CCGGTGGGGATCGTGCTCCCGGAGCGGATCGTGCTCCCGGTTGGATCGTGCTCCCCGGTGGGGATCGTGCTCCCCGGTGGGGATCGTGCTCCCCGGTGGGGATCGTGCTCCCGGAGCGGATAGTGCTCCCCGGTGGGGATCGTGCTCCCGGTGCGGATCGTGCTCCAGGTGCGGATTGTGCTCCCGGTGGGGATTGTGCTCCCCGGGGGGGGTCGTGCTCCCCGGGGCGGATAGTGCTCCCGGTTGGATAGTGCTCCCCGGTGGGGATCGTGCTCCCCGGTGGGGACCGTGCTCCCCGGGGCGGATAGTGCTTCCGGGGCGGATCGTGCTTCCGGGGCGGATCGGTTGTGACAGGAACACCAGGAGGTCTCTATGCTAATGGAACCTCCTGCTTCCTTTCTCACCAGCAGCTCTATTCAGACAGTTCTGATCAATGAGGCCATGGTTGTGTTTCTCTGTTCACCATCAATAGAATCACTTGTGCATTAATGCTGATGGTGATCAGTTTCTTCACGCCACATTTATTCCACATGTTTAGCTCTCATAGTTCCAGTGTTGATATTAAAGCTACTAGTTACTTTGACGTAGTGAGTAACTGACTTGAGCTACGTTCACACTGCAGGCCTTGATGCTCAATACTGATTTTTTTTTGCGAAATCCGATTTTTTTTTTAGGTCGCATTTCATATTTCCAAATATATGCGACCTGTATGTGATCTCCTGTGTGAACTGCAGTCAAACAACGCAAGTGTCCCGCATGCATAGTAGAGGACGCAATGACGTCACAGGCCAGCGTGCTCTTTTTTTCCGGAAGTAAACATGGATGGTAGTGCTGGCGCGCATCTTGCGGTCTTTTCCGACCATAAAAACACAATCTTTTCAATATGGTTAAACATAAATACTGCATCATCGTCTGCCATGGTTGTTGTATTTCTTGCCCCTTCTGCGTAGCAAGACGCAGAATAGTGACGGGATTCATCCGACACAGGACTGGATTCGTTGGACACAGGTCGCATTTGAAAAGATCAGATTCATATCGGATTCAGGACCACAGAGCCAAGTGGCCTGGGTCACATTGGAAAAAATCAGATCTGTGTTGTTCAGACAGCCATGAAAAGATCAGATCCAGGTCGCGTATGGGCAAAACAATCGGATTTGGGTCACTTCAGGCGTAGCCTTGGTTACTTTTTGGTAACTAGTAACTTTCCAACGGTGGTTGCTTCCATCAGCCAGCCTGTCGGAGGCTCAGCTGTTGGAAATCATCTGGTCAGAAAGAAGGAGGTCAGAGGTCACTGCCATGTTGCTTTCTAGAGGTTTTCCACAGAGATCGACTCATACGGATCGTTTTATGCTACGTTCAAAACTAAAGCAACGGGAGCAGCTAAAGTCCTCCTGAAAACATGGTCTGTGCAGTCAGTTCATCCAGATTACCATCCTGCCTTCA